CAGCTGTTACTTGTTAAGATGTGGAGCGTAGATCTGAAAAGCTTTATATCATACCCTGTGAAAACCTCCACCCCTCCCTTGAAACAGCTTCTCAGTGTGGATGATTTGGAAGGAACGGCAGCAAAGGCCAGGCTGGAGCAAGGGGTGCTGCTGAGACCTCTGTGGTAGCCAGGGATGGTTTCTGCAAGGGCTGAGGAAATTTACTTTGCATCTGGGTGATCTCTCTACTGCTTTGAATGCACCTAAGGGCTCCTCAGCCCCTCAGCGATGATCCTGATTTGTACTGTAACTGCTCTCCACACTGATTTACAAACCCTGCTGCTTTCTTCCTTCGTCTGCTTAAAACACAGCTGTTCTTCTCACCTTCCCCCATCTGCAGAATGGCATGCAGGCTCTGAAAGCTGGGTAGAGCTTTCCCTTCATGTCTGCCACAGCTGGGAAAAGAGCTCCTGTGGGCACCGTTCTGCCCTCCGTTAGACTTTGGAAATGCCTTATGGTCCTCTTAGGAGCTGTCTGTTCGACTAGCAGCTGGGGCCTGGTGAACAGCTCTGTTGCCTGTGTGTAAGAAGGAGCAGAGTTATTCTACACCTGCAGCTGCATGCTCATGCTAAAGGTATTTGAAAGTGTATTTTGCCAGCACCTCTGACTGAATATGCAGCAGACAGAGCTGCTCAGCTGGAAGATGCCATTTCTGGTCTAGCCCTATCTGGGAGCACACCACACCATGAGTCTGACGTATCGCTGCTCTGCATCTTATCTGCCAATGCAGTCAATGGAAAACTCTGCATGCAGCTCTGAGTGCTGTTCAGTGCTCTGACTCTTGCCAAGTTTCTCTGTTTCTAGGCCCAAATTCTGCCCATGATACCAAGGAAACCAGCTTCACCCACTTTGAGACTCCTACATGAGATCCCGCTCAGTACAACACGGAACAACGAGTGAACCCAAATGCTTGTGCAAAGGACAGGTAAAATGTTCTTCTTGCACCAAGTACCTGACACCTAACTCCTGAGCTCACTTCCACACCAGGAAATGGAGAGAGCACCATGAGACAGGCAAAAAGAGGTGACAATGCAGCGGGTGTTCCCCTCGCCAGGCTTCAAAAGGAAACTCTGCTGAACGATGCCTCCTTTATCCTCACCATGCTATATTGCTATTATGTTTCATCTTCACCAGTGTTGCTGAAAAAAAAAAGAGTTTTAAAAGAAGGGAGACAGCTGAGCTCAGGGCATTCGTTCTGAGGCAGGGGATTCCCTCCCCACTGCCACGTGTCCCCGGGGACCTGCCAGTTGTCACCGTGTTCCCCGGTTCACATGTACTGGGAGACATACGGTCACGGCCATGTTCCCATCTCGGCTTAGTCTGTGGATTAGGGCGCGACACCAAGTTACCACAGTTCACCCAGTTTCCATGAGTCAGCTGAGCTGGGATTTCTGCCCATGCATGTGCTTCCAGCCCACAGCAAATGCAAGCTAATGCGACTTAGGCTGGTCTGTAGTGAAAGAAAATTAAATTAAGCTGCCTTATTGCACGTTTGCCATCAGTGAAGAGAGCACACACTGAAAAGTCCTGGTGGTCAGCCCTCAGGGGCAGTTATTAAAACATGGGGACTGCGTCATGTGTGACCACTTCTTGTGTTGATGTGCTATATTTCTACACATAGACCTCATTCACCTACAGAAGTTTAACACTTCTGGCTTACTGTTTTAAGCAGCAGCGTCTAAAAAACGTGGAGATCATGCTTTAAAACAGAGAACAACAAAGGACAAAATGCCCTAGCGGCAAGGTAAAAATCCTACAAGTCACTAAGAACAGAAGAGGAACAGAACAACTCCGTGTACCTCAGGAATGTTCCCTGCTGTGAATTCACAGGGCTTGAGATAATGCTGAACTATAGACCCTTCTTCAGTCCTGCTCAAACCGTAAGTGCTCACAAACACACACATGCTGATTTTGCAGGGGTTGTGTTCCCTTCCCAAAGTACCCTAAACCAAAGACAGGCTGCTGCAGATGCGCAAGCTATAGTCCTCACTTCACATCTTCTGGCCCAGAGTCTGGCAAGCTGACAGGGAATGTCAAATAATTGGGACTGGCATTTTCCATGGATTTGGTCTACATGTGGGATTAATTCATGTGGAAAACACGTGAGTGAATGACAGAATGGCAGAGATTGGAAGGGACCTCTGAAGATCATCTAGTCTAACGCCAGATCGCCTGGTCCAACCCCAAGTGAAGGTTACCTCTTCCACATGCAACTAATACTGGAGAATGTATCTACAAAATTGAGATGTGATGTGAAATAGTATGTGCAGTCTGCTATCCCTCCTGTGTGGAAATACTGCTAATTGATCACTTGAAAAGTGTCTGACAGGATAGGTAATTTTGTCTTCAAAAGGTTTCTGAAGGCAGCTACGATTGCAAATGTGAATAGCAGCAAAGCAGAAAATTCCACTCTGAGGCACAGCACAGCACTGCTGTCCTGCTGAGCTGGGGTTTGCAGATGCTCCTATCACAGCTCCAACTATGGATCACTTTTAAAGTACATGCAGAGGCAGAGAAAGAAGGGGTAGTTAATAATTTAAAACAACACCAATCCTCAGCGGTAGTCAGGTAGAAGAATAACCTTAGTTCACTCTGTAAATGTTTATACAATAGTCTTATCTCCAGCCATGTCCTCTGCAGCTATAGGCTAATTCTTATTCTTCAAATTTTTGTGAACTGTGGGAAGAAATAAGTCTCTGCAAGCCTAGGGTCATATCTCAGGTTGTGTTTTCAAACATGTGTTCTGCAGTATTAACACGTGAAGCAAGCCTGGCCCCGAAACCCCAAAACTGCTGAACAAAAACAAACTGAGAGATTAGGTTCTGGGCCAGAAATATCTTACAAAACTAAAAAGAGATGGAATGCAGTTGCTTAAATAAAAGGTAGCATTTTACAAGTTTCAGTCAGATGTAGCTGCTTTCACAACACTGAGAAGAAGATGGAGTTGTAGAAGGTACCCAAGTTCACCTTCAGCAGACGCCAGCTTCTGTAGGTCTGGGCTGCTTTGGCCCTGGGTGCCTGCCCAGGTCAGAAGTTCAGCAATCCGCCAGTTCTGCCTACGCAGCGGTGCTGATAGAGCACCCTGGGAGCAGCTGGGGCAGCAGGACTGGGGGTGACAGAAGAGGTGGTGGTCAGTGCATGTCCACTGACTGTCCTGCAGCCGTGCCCAGCAGCCTGGCCAGGCCGGTCCTGCTGGGAAACCCTTCAAGCCCTCCAGAGGGAACATGGCTTTCAACATACGTGAGGAGATGGGTACAGGAGAGAGGGCCAGAGCCTTTCCAGGTAAAGCAGAAAATCACCTTGAACAAGGCAGGCACAGGCTTTCCTTTGGAGGGTGACATCAGTGCACAGGATGGCTAATGAAGATTTGGGAGAAAGAGATAGGGAACATTTACATCAATGGGAAGGATTGGTACAAAATTTACCAGTGATGCTTGTAAGAGTTAAAAGCGCTAAGTATTGAAATCTGTTTGTGTCTGTGGTTGGGCCTCTTTTGCTCTCTCATTTTCCCCACACTCCTCTCTGCTTGGTATTTTGATTAATATAATGGGAATATATCATCAACTGGATTTCTGTCATCATTTGAGACAAAGATGTGTGTCTGAAGACATTTATTGAGTGTAATTAGCCACTCATAATAATTTTAGTACAACTGATTAGCAATGTCATTTTCAATTTATTTTTATTTAATTTTAATATGCTCTGCACTTCACACCTGGCAAAGCGAATGGTATAGAAAAATTAAGTCTAGGATTTTTTCCTCTCAGTTATTGTACATGCTAGCTAGTGTTCAACATAAAATTATTCATACTTAGCTACTTATTCATGACTTCTAATTAGTACTTAGCTAATCATCATCTGCAAAGCAGACTTATTTTACTTAGTTTATTTTAAATTAAGGCTACTGGGGATTAGCATCTACAAGGTCACTTGACAAAACGCCAACCTTGCCTGTCAGACAAAGGTTACTCTAACGAGCTCACGAATTCCCAACGCTGTGCCCTGCCTACATGGGTACCTTTCCAGCAGGATCACGGAGCAGACTTTAGCTAATGACAGATTAATGCCAATTTAGTCAGCATAATGCTCCTGTCGCTAAAGCGTTTCCGCTGCAGCAGGGCTTGTAAAGTCCCTAAGAAAGCCCACGTACATGTACTAGCTTTGCATACAGCAGCTTTGACCAAAGGATAAAGTTTTGCAGCAGCAAATTTCAGAACTCCTGCATCTAGGCGAAAAGATAAACATTCAACATTTCTCTCAAGAGCTGATCTTTTTTTTGTTTTAATTTTTTATATATATAAATATACCATAAAGCGTACCATTTCCTCGTTTCAGTACAGATTTTTTGAACTTTACTAAAATAAATGAAATATAAATGCTACAATTTCCTGTTTAAAATAAGTTTTGATGACAGCCTTCCTCTATGAGCAGGCCCAGAAACTCTGTTAGCTACATGGAGAGAGACAAAAACACCCCCAAAACTTCACACTATGCAAAAGCATTCAGAGCAGCAGCCGTGCCTCAGCTGGAGCTGCTTGCAGGTGTCTGTGAGCTCCCCACGTGAATGCCTGCTCTCCTTAGTAGAAACTTTATTACTAACCTGAAAATTTCACATTCAACATGTATATCTCCCTTAAATTCATTGTCAAGACCCAGTTTTCCATATCTGTGTCTGCTTTTACTGATCCCAAACAGCAAGAGGTATGGTCTGTTGTGGATTTGGGGATCAGGATTGCAAATTGCTGAGTTTTCAGATAAAGCCATGCAAAATCAACCACTGTAAACCTAGTAAAAAATGGCGACCTTTGTTCTTTCCATTCTCCTTCACAACCTGGAAAATGCTCACAGCACTGAAACACCAAGGCATAGGAGCAGGGTTGTGGACGATACACCCCGCACACATTTTCCACTTTTGTACTTCTTCCCAATTGTGTCTTTGACCGTAACTGGTGCCTCCTGGACATGAGAGGTGGTTCTGGGTGAATCCTACCCACCTCATCACAACCCCTTTGTTTCAACCTCTACTACACTTCCAGGTCCTGCTGGTGAATACTCAGCTCCTAAAGCAGCAACCTAAAATCTGTCTGTGTGTCTTGCTGCCAAGGGTGTTGTTGCTGGTTTACTCGTTCTCAACGTGTACTTTCCAAAACAGACACGTTAAAACAAAAAAAAAAAAAAACAACAAACAAAATCTTTAAAACAATGATAATATCACAATATCTGTTTAAAACAGTACTGCCCATGCTCTGGACAAATTGTTAAGAGCAATTCAGCATTCTTATAATTAATCCACAACAAAAGAAGCTATAAGATGCCACAAATGAAGGCATAATTGGCCATACAGAGGCAACACTACCATGAATGTTGTTTGGCAAGGAAAAAAAAATATACATAATTCATCCAAAGGACGGGTTCAGAACTGCCCGGCGCTGCTGGGATCACACTGCAGGAGACGGACTATGGATGGATCGCTCTTGGCGCCTCGGATGAACTCTTCCAGAGAGAGCTTTCCTAGAAAAGAAATGTGTCTGCTTAGTGCACATGGTGGGTCGCAGCACACCTGCCAAGTCTCTGGACAAGCATGGTAGAACGAATCTGGGGAAGCCCAAGGGAAAAAATCCCTGGAAAAGCAATCCTGCAAGGCAAAGTCCTGCCTGCCTGCACCCCGCGGGCTGTGGGTGATGGTGGCTTTGCCTGGGTGGCCAAAAGAGGAGTGGTGAGTCTGAAGGGTCGCCCCATGCGGGCAGGACACCCCGGCCACTCAGCGTGGGAGCAGAGGTGGCTGCCCCGGCATCTGGAGGGTGCCTACCGTCACGGTTGGTATCCATCTGGCGGAAGATCTTCTCTGTCCTCTTCTCTGGTGTTGACTCGTCTTCTGGCATCTTCATTACAGAAGAAACCATCTTATAGATTGCCTGTGGGAGCAAAGAGCTGGTAAGAAAACACATTATCTTAACGCAGGGGTATGATTATCTCCTGGTGACAGCAGTAGGCAGAAAATATCCCAGGAACATCAGCTGGGACCTGTCTGGATGCTGAAGGGAGTTGAGTGGCATCAGTACATGCAACTGCCTTCTTCAGTGGCACACTTCTTTATGAAATACTGTGTTTCCTTATTTAGTCAAAGTCGAACACAATCTGGGTTTGGACTGAGGTCACGTTTTTCCTTATTAAAACAGTCTTTGGATTCATTTGTCACTTGTGCAGCACATTAGGCACTGGCAGCTCTTGGTGCCTGGGGGAACGATAAGACCACCAAGGTCTTGTCCCTTGGTGTGGTGTGTCTCTATGCTTTGGCCACTGAGACTCCATGGCTTACCACCCCTGTAGCCTCACCCTGCCTTTGCTCCCCCCCATCTCCTTTCTCCGTCCCCTTGGTCAGCATCCTGCCCACAGGGAGGGCAGTGACTCACTCCTGTGTTTGCCATGTCTCACAGGTAGTGAAGACTTGAGTAGCAAGGAGCTGGCCTTTTCCTTGAGGGCTGGTGTGCGCACACAACTCAAAACCTCATTCGCAATTTGTTTCATGGAAAGCAACTGTTCATAGAATCACAAAATGTTTTGGGTTGGAAGAAACCTTAAAGATCATCTGGTCCAAACCCCCTGCCATGTGCAGAGACATCTCCCACCAGACCAGGTTGCTCAAAGCTGTGTCCAATTGGTGCCACCCATAGCTGTTCTCTGCACAGACAAATCCATTGGTATCAGCCACCCCTAGAAGAGAGGTGATGTTAATTTTAAACCAAGGATGAGTAGTTGTCTCTGAACTGGTTATCCAAAGGTTGCCTGCAAATGTGACTGTGCAGTACCAGTAAACGAGTGTTTTTGGTGTCTGATACCTTTACGGTGTCACACAGCTGGGAGAACAGCAGCAGCCAGACAGCTGTAGGTTGGTGGTCTCAGGGGAGTCTCCAGGCCATTTGGAGAGGCTGCACATCCCAGCCCAAGGCAGTGTTGTCCCAGCCTGATCAGCTCTGTCTGTTTCCCATTGCAGCTCATTGGGCTCTGGCTGGTGGGTACTGCATTGGGCAGCCACTTGTTCCTCCAGCCCTGGTCTGGAGATGTGGATTGCTTTCTTCCACAGATTCAAATTCTTATTTGCCCCCCAGGAGGGTGTCTGCAGGGGGCAGCTGATAACATGTGACTGCTTTAGCAGTTTGTTCTCCGCTTCCTCCTGCTCTGGGAAGGGGGGTCCTTGGCGCAAGCCCAAGATTGCTCACTGGACCTCCCCTCTCGCCCTTCCCATTCATAAAGGCACTCTGCCTAGCATGCTCCCATCATCTGGGATCCCATCACCTCCTATTCCAAGGGCCAACTCCATGAACATAACAGCACAGATTCATGAGCTGAAGGATGCTGCTAAGCAGCACAGACATTTTACACTCAGGCTCAGGAGTGCCCACTTGCTTGGCCATCTTGCTGGCTTCTCTGCCAGCAGCTCACCTTTCGTATCTCCTGACCTTTAAATAACTTCAAGAATTACACTCTGAGAAAGGCACTTGTCTGTTTAATTAATTATTCATTGCTTAATCTCAACACAATCCAACACGTGCTCCCTCAGCTGTGTCACCAACGCCGCGGTCTTGGATCTCCTGATCTGCCCTCCAGTAAGTCCATAACACTGGCTATGGGCCTGGGCAGGGGAAGAGGAGAACATTGAAATGTTGAAGCATGAACAGCACCTGGAAATGCAAAAGTGGTGGGCACCCTTTTAATTATCGTTGTCATCATCATCATCACCATCATCATCATCATCATCACTGTCATGTTTTGCACTGTGAGAGTGTCCAAAATCTCCCAAGACAATTAGGGTGCCAGAGCACTGAGCAGAGCCTCAGTACAGGCAGAAATGCTGTCCACACAACCATGATAATCTGACAACCAAGAGAACAGAAGAAAGGATGGACATTGCAAGTACATGAACATAGGGATGAGGGAGCTGGGGGAAGGAGGCAATAGGGGAAGAAAAAAAAAGGAGAGGGTGAACAGTAAGAATTTACACCTTCCTCATCCTCATCAGCATGCAAGGTTTGCAGAGGTCAGAGCAGAGATGAGGCTTATAAATCTGCCCATGTTTAAGCATCTTAAGCTGTCTGGCTTTTGTCTGGGAAGGAAAAGAGGTGGAGGGGGTCACTCCCTCACTCTGGGTGAGAGGACAGCAAAGCAGAGAATCTGTATTGAAAGTCTGGGAGGAATGCCCTGGACTGGGAGTACAGGCATGTTTACCCTGATCAAAGTAACCATAGTAAGAATATGCAGATTTTTAGGACAAAAAAACCAACCAACCACTTCAGGATGACTTCATCCTACAGGGTCCTTTTCACAGAGGCATGTGAAGGGAATAACAGATGAGATATTCTAGGAAAGCCAGATGGGAATAACATAGTAAGCGTTCCTTTCATGCTGAAAATGGTTACTCTAGACAAATTCTTATGTCCTTACTCAGAAGTTCAGTGGGAAGTTTTCCCAAAGTAAAAGCCAGCTAAAGCTGATTAAGAATCTTAAGACTTGCCCTATATTAATTCAGTGCAGCTATACAGAGCTCTTTATTGCATGTTTGAAAGAGCTCTGAAAGGAAGCTGCTTTCATGCAGTAATTACGTGGAGCTGGGCTGTACAGACCCTGGGCCATAACTGGGACTGAAATGCTGCAAGGACTGCACTCCACATGGAGAACGAATCCTTGATCTTGCAGCACTTGGGGTGAAGACCATTGGTGGCACTCAGCAGGAGAAGGTTTGGAGGTGGTTCTCTATCAGCAGCCACCTGAGTCAGAGCAGCCTCTGCTGGTGGACTTCTATCAGGAAGGCTCCTTACAGCTCCCTGGAGCCCCCGGTTCCACTATGAAATTGTGCCTCCAGAGCCCTGTGCGCACCGCTGAAGCGAGCACTGGATCCAGCTTGATCTGAACTGGCTGGGTCCCTGCTAAACTCTCTCCTTTGGTTTTCCACCTGCGTGTGGATGAGCAGTGATGGGTAAAATCTCACCCCTACGCCCATTGCCACAAGTTTTTCTCCCAGCCACTGGCTGGCACTGCTGCACTTGGACCAGAAACCTTGGTGGGGGCTGTGCTTTCCTGCTATACTTGACGGAGTGTCAAAGAGCTCCTTAGGGTGATGGCAGCAATGACAGCGCAAATTGTCAGTCAATCCTTTTTACTCTGTTGACATAAATTTTGACAGCTAGAAGTCTCATAAAGTGAATAATTGGCCCGAAATAAATTTGCTTTTCTCCCAGTCTCATGGGGATTTTTGACACTGTCTTTACTAAGAGCCATACCAGCTTCTGCTTCTTCCCGTAACAAACTCTGTTTCTTCCTGGCTTACAAATAAGCTAGCCCAGCAAGTGAAACCTGTGTGTTCTGTTAGCAATAAACTGAAAGTGTTATTCTTGTCTCTCAGCTCAGTATTCTTAAGATGCCTTATGACTCCATACGGTGAAAAAATGCACCCTTAGAACAAGGTTTCCATCTCTTGAACTCTTATTTTAAGAGTCACCAAACATGTCCCATTTCAGCAAAGGGAACAAACACAAATCTTCCAGATTGGTTTGCAGCTATTTTTGAGTGGACTGGGCTATTTAGATTATAGGTAAACATACAGGAGACATGAAAAGCATTCCTAGAGCGAAAGAATCTGAGAGAATCTGTGGTGAGGTCTATCAAGAGGGCAGGCTATGAACCATCTTCCCACGGGACTTTGCAGATGTGGAGTGCCTGGTAGGTGTAGGTGTCCCATGGACCTTCGTTCATTATGTTCTGCAGTTGTCCGCCCACGGCTAAAGTCCTTCAAGTTATGTGATCCTCCAAGCTGTGCAGCCAGCTCCATGTGGATGGTTCACGTGTCTCTCCAAGCAGAGCTTTTGGAGAGTTGTCTAGGGGAAGCTCAGGGTCAGGCATGGTGAGTCTGTGATGGGTATGGGTACATTGTTAACAGCTCTGTGGTAAACGGAGCTTAAAGGAATGCAAGTGCTTTGCCCCCCAGCCCATCACTTTGCAGGGAAAACTGGCTTCAAAAAGCTGTTGTGGACCACTCATATTCCTCTCCTTGGTAGATGGGCAGTTACTGGGGCTCCTGTGAGACATGAGCCATCTTAACCAGCAGCTCTGCTGTTTCAGTGCTGTTGCTGCTGCCTTTGTTACCACAAGCACCTTCTTGTGCTGCTGAGCAGGAGTGCAAGGCCTGCATTGCCTGCAGCCGTGTTAGGTTAGGCCAGAGCATGAGGAAGGAAATGCAAGTAATGATCAGCAACAGTGAATATCACTACAGAGGGAGGATTTTCAAAGCACAAAGACAAGCAGACTGAAAAAGAAGAAAACCTGCCATGCCCCTGTGTTATTTCATGTACAGTAATCCCAGAGTCACTGGGGCAGTATTTTTCTGTGAGACTAAGGCTTTTAGATTGATGGTGCTTCTTTTAGCATTCATTTTGATGTACTGTCTCATGCAAAAATCCTAATGAAAACAGTGTAAATCCCACTATATCAATATGCAAATGTATGCTTGATAAGAGACTTGTAATAGGTACCTCTGAGACGTATACTGGAGATATAACAGAGCTCTATTTTTCATTATCAGAAAGACTGTGACAGCTGAGGGCTTCCAGGAAGACATTTGATACGGAATCCTGTCTTTCCTTATTAAAATGTAATAATCTTTCGTAAAGTGATAGTTGTTACTGTTTTTTTGTAAGTCTAATCACTCTACATCAAAGGAACCTCTCAATAAGGCAAGAAAATGTGCTTATCTACTTCAAATTCACATATCAGCTGAATATGCTTCCAAGGACTGCACAACAAATCCTATCCCACTGGGAGGACCTACGTATGACCAGTGCGATACAAGGACATCCCTGTGACCTTAAAAAAATAAAAAAGGAAGAGAACAGGGTGAGACCTACAAGCACAGTGCTTCACGGGCAGCTCCATCACAGGAAGGACAGCTTTCCTCACTGGAAAACTGCTGGTGGTCCATGGTGCAGAAATGGTGGTTGCTCAAGCTGTTTGCTTCCAGAATAGATTTTTGTGTGGTCTCTGAAAATGTGAGGTGAGAGTAAATGAGATAAAGCATTGCTTAGTTGAGTTTCAGGTGCAATCTGAAAGGAGGAGAGAGCCAAGCCTCTCAAGAAGTGTGGTGAGAGGGCTGGAGTGCCGAGCTGAGGGCTGTACACGGTCAGCGTTGCTCTGGCTTGGAGGTACAAACTGCCAAAATTTTGCCCTACACTGATCCCGAAGCTGCAGCTTCATTTGATGATGGCATCATGGTTGTAAAGGACAATGCTACAATTTGGTACCAACACAAATACGAAGAGGAGGCAGAGCATTTTAGCCTCTAAACATGCTGGTGAGCATATCTGGAGTAACTGGAAAAAACTGCTGTCTTTGCTGGTCCTCTCTTGTCTCTCTACAGAGAATCCAACCACCAATGCTTTCATTAAATCTGATGTGAACACATTTATGGTCTTGTTCTCACATTTGTGGTCTTGTTCTCCCTGCTGTAAATCTTCTGGTCTGGGGATTTGTGCTGCCGTTCACATTGAGGTCTTCCCAGGCTACCCAACAGCAGTGAGGGGTCCTGTGGACTCCAGGGCATCTCCTCCTCCTGAGGAACAGGCGCTCCTTGTGTTTGCTTTGTACTTTGTTAGTTCTTTTGGGATTCTCTTTGTTTTCTCATGAGGAGCAATGCAGCTAGAAAAACAATAATTGACAGCCTGTTTACCCTGTCCGGGGGAGAGGAAGGTTTGTAAGGAACAGTGTATCTCCTAATGCAAATATTACATGGGCTTTGTCATGGCACGGAGACAGGGAGGTCTCTGCATCGGAATGCAGTCCTACGCTTTAACTCAGACATAGGAACACAAAGCAGAGTAAGTGAAAGACAACACCACAACCCTACATTTGCAGCTGAGCTTTGTATATGGTCTGGCTGAAGAACCTTGGGAGAAAGACGAGGGCACCACATGTCAGGCTGACTCCATACATGCAGTTTGCCATCGCAGCTGGTAATTTGTGTGCATTCCTTTCCTTTGATTTCCAGCACAAATATAAGTCTGAATAATACAGTATGTAGTTAGCACATCAAAATTTCCAGGGAAAGAAAAGATCCTCATAACAGGCACTTTTTTCTTTTTTTTTCTTTTTTTTTCCTTTTTTTTTATTAACAGAGCTGTATTATACAGATTCAAGCTGTGTAAATATGCTACCATATTAAAAAAATGTTTTAAAGCTTTCAGGTGAGTGATGTGCCTCAAGGGTAAAAAGATGTCAGAAGAAGGCAAAGTGAGGTGGGACTCCTACTAACCCCACAATAAAATGCATCCAAAGAAGCTGTGTATGGAGTCATTGTCTACCCAGATAAGGTTTATCTGTACTGGCAACCTAATATGAAGACAACTAGTATGATACAAAGTATGCAGACCTCACTGGAATTAGGCAGATGGACACTTTAAAAAAGTGTAAGCTGGTTCTTCATAACAACATGATTTCAAAGTAGATTTGTTTCTTATTGTGGGAGGAGACTGCCTTCCTTAAAAGTACACTACCTGGATCATCTATGATACCTACTTGGTCCAACTGTAATTAATTGTAATTAACTGACAGTGATTTCCCAGAGAACATAATTACATTTATCAACAGATTAGTTGCTGTGTTCCAACCCAACAGAATTCTCAAGGGAGCACTGGAGCGTGTTGCTCAGGAAAAACTTACAATGGATACCAAATGCTATAGTTCAAAATTCGACACGATCTTTGCCAAATGAAGTAACACTTTCTATTCAAACAGTTATACAAAGAACCAAGATCATAAACCCCCAAATGCTGCCAGAGGTTTTCATTCAGTGTCTCACTGCAATATTGCTTCATAATTTGCTTGGAGGGAGGGAGGCCAAGGGGTGCCTCTGAGCAGCACCTACCTGCACGATTTCCAGCATCTCTGACTTACTGATGTAGCCGTTCCCATCGAGGTCATACATGCTGAATGCCCACTTCAGCTTTTGCTCCAGTTTACCTCTCGACGTTACGCTCAAGGCTATGATGAATTCTCTGAAGTCTATTGTGCCGTCTCCATTGGCGTCAAAAGTGCGGAATACGTGTTCCGCAAACTTAGAAGCGTCCCCATAAGGGAAAAAGTTCCCATATATTTTTTTAAATTCCTCCATAGATAAATGTCCACTTGGACAGTCTCTCAAGAAGCCTTTGTACCACTCCTGGATCTCATGTTCTGTAAAGTCTGTACTTTCTAGCAAATCTTGCATGACTTCAGGGCGTAGTTTGCTGTTTTGCTTTCCCATATTGATGTCAAATATTACCTGCAGAAGAAAAACAAACACATATGAATTATAATTAATTATTAGTTATTAATTATTTATTATTAATTATTAATAACTATTAGCTTGGAGGCTGTAGAATAATGTTGGATTCTGAGTTTTCTGATGATGGCTCACTCTTGAGAATCAATTGAAACTTTGGGCAGCATCCATTACTACAAGTATTCTCTGAAAAAAAACCAAAACCAAGCTTAATCTACATGTAGATTACATTGCCTTTTCACAGTCTGGAGAACTGTAATTATGATGAATTATTGCCTTTGTAATCTGGAGGTAAGCAATGGATGTTGCAAGGTGTAGCTGACCAGTAGCTGTGTTTCACAGCACACCCTCCATCCCAGTCACCCGTCTCAAAGACCTGTCCTGAATGAGATGCAATTTTTGTACTTCTGGTGGAAACCAGGTTGCTACAAAGGCCTATGTTCACTTGGTCTTGCTCCAAAATAGGATCAAGGTGCATCTACAGTGAACACTGAAACCAGGAGCTCCAGAGCCCTTCTAGATATATCTTTGTAGCCAGAATCAAACAGAGCAACCCAGAAGTTGCCTCTCTTGTTTGGCACGAACCAATTCCCATTTCAGTTCAAAGTGCAGATAAAACCTGAAAAGATTTTGTCAATGGTGGATTCACCCACCCCAAACTATTACTGTGTTTTTTAATTCTCCTGATAGTCAGAAATTGGATCTATTACTAAGTAATATAATCTGGGTGGTTACAGCTCTTAAAAAAAAAACTCTTTAAAAAAAAAACACAAAACAAAACACCAAAAAAACCAAAGGAGAAAAAAAAGCACACCCAGACAACAAAACTGGAAATTCCTTTACCTCAAATTAACCATTAAGAAATATTATTGGATACAGCTTCTGTCAAACTGCCCTAATTATATTTTATTTAAGGCAAGTTGCTACATATCACATTGTGCAGCAGATTTACTAATGACTGATGCCATTTGCATTTTAAGTTTTGGAGCCTGAGTGTGTTGACTACAAAAGGCATCATGATCAGTTTTACTGGAAGCTTAGCATTATACTTGAATTGTGGGAAGCTGTTCTTTATCAACAGAAACCTGCCCGAGAACTTGTCATGCCAATGACAGTCACAACTAAAATCTGATGCATGGATAACTTCAGTAGAATTGCAAAATAATTTATACAAGACTTCCACACTGCTGGCAGAATAGAGTCTCTGGACCACAGAGATGGATTTATGAATGTTGTCTGGAGTTCCTAATGAACATTCAATAAAAAGTCTTTTTTAGACCAAGGTAATATTTTTAAAAAATTAAGAATAATACATTGTCATTACATGTCAGAAGCAGCTAGTGAGAAATGTACTATCATTTGAAGCTAATCTACTGTCTCATATATTTGGCACTGGGAAGAAGAAATGGAGGCTCCCCCAGGTTGATGCTAATTGTTTCCTGTGGTATGAAGCTCCCCTTCTGCCCAAGGTGAATTTGAGCACTAGGCAGCTAGAAGACTGACTCCTTAATCTCCTGTCTTCTTGGACCAGAATGACCGAAAAGCTTTGTTTCTCATGGGTAAAATGGTGGGATCTATCCTAGATCTATCTGTGTCTCAACAGGATCCACTGACATCTGTCTGGTAACTAGATGTCCAGTCTAAACTCGTTGCCTACACAGTTGATGGCAAATGGGTCCCCTGTTCACAGAGAGGAGATTGAAAGGGGTGGAGTCCTGCCTGGTGGACCCCTTTTGTCTCCTGACCATTTCAAGAGCTTGGGTGACTGTCTTGATCCTAATGATGTATTTTCCTCCAAAGTGTCTCCAAAACACATGGAAAGTGGAAGATGTCACCTCCAAGGCAATTTTTTTCTATTGCCTTTCCTCCTTTCATCGTGATCAAAACATAATGTACAGTTTTTAAGCAATTCAAGCTCTTAATACCCTGAAAATAGCAGAAAAGTCCCTGTTTTACAGGCCCGTTCCAACAGCTGCCGAGGCAGCTGAACGTTGTGTTGCCTTCAGCGGGTGTTGGACGGGGTCCATTATAAACAACCTGGGAATTAGCTGAGTGAACGGATTACATTAGGGCAGCCAGACGGGTTTATGTCAGGCAAAACAACACGAGCAGGGTCTGCCAGCAGGATGGAAAAGCAACTGGACAAGAGAAGTGGCTGGGCTTAGTCTGGAGAGGCACCAGCTCAATATAAAACAAATCAGTAAAATCCCCAGCGTAGGTAGCAGCCACTCACACCCACGGTCGGCAGCTACTCCGCAGCCCCAGGGGCTGCACGCTTTTCAGACCATCAGAGTAGAAAGGGAAGATCTCTGACTAACATGCAAGCTGGCTGCTGTAGGAGTGAGCTGGCATTAGTGACATAATCCCTTGCTGCTTTTTAATATCTCAGACATTTGAAAATGCAAAACTCAGCTCGCACACTGGACTTCCTGTCCAGAAATGATTTAAAAAAAACCCCCAAAACAGTGAGCTAACATGCCAGCAGTAGCCTTCAAGAGACAGGCAATAAGAATGGCTTTCAATAAAAAAAATGATACATTTGTAGATGCACATGGCTGCAGGTGCAACATATTTTTACCAAACAATAAAAAAATACAGAATAGCAGAACGCACTGCATTGCATTGCATTGCATTGGTAGAAGCAAGACATCCTGAGCAGAAAAATTTATGTTCTCCAGGCAGAAAGGGAGAGCTAACCATATGTGACTTGCAGTAAAGGGTTGAAATTCGCAGCCGTTGTGATGCCAGGCAGCACAGTCAAAACCAGCAGAATTATTTCTGAGTCCACTTGTGATGAATTTGTATCACGTTCTTTGCCCTCCAGATTGTTTCTTATTAATAGGTTGTGTTCTAGGAACCATAACGATGGGATTTGTTGTGCCTGTTCTATCAACAACAGATCAAAATGCTTTTGCAGTCCAAGTACAGAAAATCCTTGAAGACACTTGAAGATCCTTATAATCACTTCACACACTGCTGCCTGCCTCTTCAGGACAGATCAGATTATGGGCAGAGCTAAGAGAATGTCAGCTCACAACGACAGCAGTAAATGCACAGAATGAAATAAAATTGGATCTGATTTTCGGCATTTTTCCACAGTTTATCACCTCTGTAGATCTTTCAAATTTCTAGTAAGTCATTAACTGTTAAAAATACAGCACGTAAATAGTGAATGGCAGTCACAACAGTAAAGTAAATTACTGACAAAACTGAGAAATGGATGTTGTAGGCACACAAACCAAAGACAAATTAAGTGCTTAATCATTATGTTTAATTGCATTACTACAATTTCTTCCTCCAATACAATGGTGTTAGACACAATGTATATGAATGACTTCTTATATAGGACAACATGACATACAAAAATAGGTCTTAATTCTGAAGGGAATATAATTTAGTAAAAGAATGTATTGGTGATGCCTTTATGGCTTGAAGGGTTGATACCATCTCAGCCAGCAACTACAGAAAGGAAAGCATCACTGCTGTGTGGTTGCTATGAAAAGAATTTCTGCTCACTGATTATTGGGGGAAATGTCACAGGAGCTTCTCCATAAAGAAAATACTCAGAGCTGGCTCTAATCAGGTCTGGATGCAGAGTTTTTATGATGAGCCTGAAGACGGAGCTTTTTGACAGACAACTGCCTGTGACAATTCAGCATCTAAGAGAATAAACGAATGAAGTAGCGGCTGACACCACACTGAACCGACTTTCCCTGCAGTGCAGCACACTGTATGCAGGCAGGACAGCGATGCCTTCTCCTCAAACAGGGAGGACCAGCTGGACAGAAAGGCAGCAAACACTGACTCCATCATTGGTCTCTTTTCAGCTGTTTCCTGCTGCTCACACACAGTTGTTACATTGATCTGAAACCTCAGCATAAGGCAAACACGTTGCCTGCTTAAGCAGCAGCCTTGCAGGAGCTGGGAAGCTGCGGCAGCCGAGGGCATGCAGCAAACCCATTCCTGTGTGGGTGCAATGGAAGCATCAAAACCTATTTCCTGAAATGAAATCAACATGATTTTTTCTGTTGTGGATTCACTATAATAAGCAAGTGCTAGCAACACCTTTCTAACAGTGCTCTTGCTCTTCAAAGCTGATGCCCATCATATAAAGACAACCCTATTTGTTCTTTACTTTTTTTGTGGGTTTTTTTAGTTGTCTTTTTTTTCTTGAGCTCAGTTTACCAAAGACAGCAAGAAATCTTAATTTTTATTTAGCCTGAGAAAAAGAAAATTAAAAAAGGGGCACTTATTCAGGGAAGTGTTGCTCTAAAAATGGAGAATTTAGAATATTGGGTACTTCATCGTTAACAAGGTACAAAGCACCTGAAAGGTGGAAAGAATCAGTTTGAAGACAGGTCCTGCCTCATATATTTCCAGTGGGGATAGCAAGGAAAATAACACCATAGGCTTGGCTACAGAGACCAACTGTGTAAAAATGAAGACAGAAGAGTTTTCAGAAAGAAGCAGGGAAAGCTCCATTTTGTGATTTCAGCTATTCCACAATTTAAAATTAGAAAGAATTAGATAACAAAACATGAGCTTTAGGGGACAGTCTTTCAGTGGCAGAGAGATAGCACTGGACAATGCAAGAAGCCTTTTACACAGCTGCTTTGCACAGCCCTAGAGCCAGAGGATGCACGCAGAGGTGTGCAGGTCACGTCCTGGGGCATGGGAGGAGAAAGTTTCAGTACCACACCACTAAAGTGAGGACATTTCTCCAGCATAGCTGAGAGACAGCCGGATGATGGGCATACCAGTACCAGCTCACCAGTACAGTTGCAGAAAAGAGGGATGAACCACCTCGTTGTTTGGCTTCAGAAACTGCATTTCTTGATTTCTTACATGCACAGTGTGACCCATTTCCAAAAAATAATCCACTTACAGGGCAATGATGTCTTTAAGATTTCTAAGACATAACTTGAGAATTTCCCCAAGACTAGCAATCGTGGGGTTTCAACCTCTGACAAGCAGCTGAAGAAGCTCCTGACAGACACTGGAA